ACAAAGAAGTAAAACTGGTCCTGTGGCAGATGCTCATTTACATATGTATTGATTTAATTATAGATTTCTCTCCCTCCTTTCAAGATTGCTAAAAAAGATGAACACAATCCAAGAAATGCACAAACTGAGCCAGAGACACTAGGGACAGTAATTTCTTCCTTTGATAATTCCTACGGAGATGTGCAACATTCCTGCTCTTATTGACTTAAACAAAGTCAGAGGCATGGGCAGGACTGCCACAGCTGCAGCTCCTGATACTCCATTGCATCTTATGAGGGAGCCTGTGTCTGCCCTCATAAGGATAAAAGGCAGAATCAGGTCAGGAGATCCTGGGCTTTTCAGTATGTATTAAAGCAGATTTTTGTGTCTGCTGCAGCTGTGTGTATGAGAGATCAGGGGCTGGATTTGCACAGGGGTATAAATCTGGCTCTTGTGCTCCCCAGTTTGTAAAACCACAGAAAGCATTTTTCCCAGTCAAGGAGGAGCAATAAAGAAGGCTCTCATTTCCCTGAAACCCCTCCCTTCTCAAGCTTCTTCATAAAAACAGGCAGCCATTCTCATTAGTCACTCTTACACGGTTGTTTTGTGCCCTGCAGCCTGTCAGTGTGGGAAAACTGCCTGGAATCAGAGCAGCCTGGCAGCCTGCTGCAGCATCAGCACCCTGCAGGATGATTCCAGAGCTGCTTCCCAAACTGACATTTCTCAACAGTAGTTTCAGGCTGCTTTCCCGTGAAGCAAGAAAAAAAAACCAAGAAACCCCAAACAAATGCAACTGCTTTTTGCTTCCACAGTCTGTGGGCAGACTACAGGTTTCTGTGCAGGCAGGGGGCTCTCGTTAGCGCCTGTGCCAGGAGGATGCTGCCCAGGATCCCTTGCCGGGATGAGGCACATCCCTGAGTCGCTGTCTGCTCATGCCTGTGAGCTCCACTGTGACTCTACCTCCTGATCTTCCCCACTGTCCCACCATGCCACGGGTTGTTCCTGCAAGACAAGCTCCACAGCAGCGTGTTTTGAAGGGCAGACTTAGAAGCCTCCTCTTCAGATCCATCTCATCCTCCAGCCCTGTCCTGACTCATGCCCTATCAGCAGCTCAGCCCTGGCCTGGGGAGGGGCAGGGGGAAGGAGTCCCACAGACCAACTCTGTTCAATGCACCACCTTAGTGGTGATGCTTGTGGATTTTATGCCTTAAACCTGTCTAATAAACCGAATTCTCTGTAATCATTTTTTTTGCAGGAAACAGTGGTGCAGCCATGATCCTGGTTCTACAGATTTGAACAAACCCAGAAAAACAGTCCAAATTGTTCAGGACAGGTGTTGGGTAATCATTTCATGCTCTGCTTGCAAATGCAGATGCCAGCAAAAACGTGCTTAAATCCTTCATGGAGTAGAGTGGAAACAGGCCCAGCCTCTCCTGCCCCTGCTCTTTTACTCAGAGTAAAACACTCACCTTCGTGCTATGCAGCAAACTCAGGTTTTGGGCACCCACAAGTGCCACAATCCTTAATGCTGTTTTTCTAGCATAGTCCCTTTGTCATTTGCAAGCAAAATACTGCCTGACCTTTGCAGTCAGCAGTCATTAGTGCAGCCTTGGAAAGGAGGGGAAAAAAGAGTGTTTTAATGCTATTCTTTTCTTAAAACGTGGCACAAATCTAGCACCAACAATGTGGGGTGGAACTGTGATAGTATCACATGCCTCAAATGTCTTGGTTAGGTGACAGTTTAAAGCCAGGAAGTTTTCCTTAGAATCAACTTAGTCTACCCAGGAAAAGAAAAAACAAACAAATTTATGCATTAAAAAGTCCAGCTGGAGGACTTTCCTCATTGCCCATCACTTTTAATTAGCTGATGTGTTTTCCCCTAGAATGGGACGAGCACAGCACCCAGACTGCACACATTGTTCCTTGGCTGGGGAGCTGCACATATATATAATTTATGCTGCGCATGCTTGAGACTTGATGATGTTTGGGCAGTTCGCATGGAGCCCATGCAGCATGGGTGCTTCTGCACTGCTCTCTAGGGTGACAGGGCCCAACAGACAGCTGGTACAGGATTATTTTAGGCTGTGCTCAGTCACTAGAGATGCCCTTTGGGAGTTCAGTACATTCAGTTTCCTCCCATCCACTAAATTTGTTTTTCTGTTTGGCAGAGGAATCTATCTAAAGTGACACCTTGCTCTGGGAAAACATGGTATTGGGAGCTAATTGATTCCTTTATAATTCTGAGCATAGAAATATTTTATTTTTGTGTGGGAAAGAGATGTTATTTTATCCCTATCTTAGGTGGAAAGGTCATAAGCAAGAGCTGTAATACTGTTGCATTCCAGAATGAAATGCTGCTTGATAATATTTTTATAAGCCTGTGCTGATTCCAGCATTAGCCTTTTAGAGAGAGATAGATGGGGAAAACACAAATGTCCCTGGTCAGATACAAATCCAGAGCTTACAAATCCTGGGCTGGGGCAATGGAAGGAGATGGGAGTACAAGAGGTGAGGATGAAGGTCAGGGAAGCAGCCACTTTTCTCAGGGTTTTGCTGTGCCTAATTTGACCCCACCTAGAAACCAGGCTGGCGGACAGCATGAATCAGCAGTGAATTCTTGGCATTGGGCTCAGCCAGGTCCATGGTGGCTCACAGGGGACCCTGGGCACTCCTGCTGGACCCTGTTTTGGGGAGCACCACATCTGAGTTGGCTCACATTGGCTCAGTCAGCTCCATTATGGCTCCAAGAACTTGAAAACATCCTCTGTGCTTTCCTGGACAGCCCAGCTGCTGCCTGCTCAGCACTCAGTTTTGCACCTCCTCAGTAAATAAATTGTGATCTGTAGCATATGACCACAGTGCAGCTGCTTGTGCAGCTATATTGTCAGACCAATAACACACAGTCCTCTGACACAGCCTGTGATAACTGAAGCCCCTCCCAGATACCAAGGCACCAAAACCACCTTGTTTGCACCAGTTTTCTGCTGAAATCCTCCAAGTTTAATGATATATGCTAGCTCAAAGGAGTACCAAACCAAATTCTCAGTGGGTCAGTGACTAAGTGGAATAGAGCCCTGAGCCCAAAACATGCAATGTTTTAAACCAGGCACTGCAGGAAAACAGAACACAGAAAAAAGTGGTGCAACAATGCCTTTACTCTGGATCATACTTGGTAAAGCCTGAAAGAAAATGGGATTAAAAACCACAAGACAGTAAAAAATTCCAGTGATGAGTGAGTGCTTGCCAAAGGCTACATGCCACATGGGTACATGAGGTGTCCCTTGCTCACCTGGGATGTGACAAATTAATTGACGCCTGAACAGAAATGAAAGCAAATGAAAGCTCATGCTCCCTTTGAAAGCGATGAGCATTCCTATTTTTTTAAAAATATATGTAACACTTTAGGTTATTCTTTCACAGCAAAAGAATCTCTCTTGTTTGTCACCACAGTCTGGGGCTATTTTTAACACTGCTAATGAGTGACTAAAGCAGGGTGGAGTAGCTAAACTAGCTTGCTGCTCCCAGCCACCCACAAGGTTTTTCTGACCATCAGAGGTGGACCAGAGCCAGCTCATGCGAGGAGTCAGAGCAAGGCACCTCTCAAATGTCTGTGTCCTAGGACACAGATGGTGGAAAAAATGCACACCCATTCCTGCAGCTGAGTAAAAAAAGGCCTAGACTCCACACAGGGCAGGTATGTCCAGCGCTTGACTTCAATCTCTGAGACTAATGGATCTCAGAGATGCATTCATCTCTGACCAGAGCTCATAAAGCATGTAGTTGGCATCTCATCTGTCCATCAGAAAAAGACAGGAGAAAAGCTACCTGTGCAAACAATTTATTCCTGGATTAGAGGACGCCCAATTCAAGGAAAGTAGTGGTTTCTCACAGGGTCAGTAAATTAATAGAAAATCATACAATCATTATGGTTGGAAAGACTTCCCAGATCATCAAATCCAACCACTAACCAGCATCACTGTGTTCACCATTAAACCACAGCCCTGAGAGCCCCACCCACCCACTTTTTGAACACTTACAAGGATGTAACACCTGGCCCCTGTCTGTTCTTAGGAATGGTCTTGGCAGAGGTCCATTATCATTCAGGGGATCAGAAGCTGTTGAAAGGGGAACATCCAGCATCCCTTCTCCCATCACCTCCAGGACTGTTGCATTCAGAGGAGGGACCAAAGATAACTGGAAAGCACCAGCTTAAAAATGCGGGTGTTAAAGTGGTAAGCACTGCTGCCGATCTCTTGTCCCCAGCAAGCCTCTCTTGTTGAAAGACAGGCTGAGTTAACATTCAGGCAATGCAGTCAAGCCTCCACTCAACACTCACCGCAGCTGCCTCAACCATAGAGGCAAGAAAGCTCTTCTGCAAGGTTTTATTCCAGCAGAGTAACACAGTTGCTAAAGGACAAACCCAGGGAAAAGAGGATGAGCTGCGTGGAGCAGGAGCTTATGAAGAGGAAGGGGTGGGGAGCAGGGCTAAGGGCTGGCCAGAGGGGCCTGGCCTCCAGGGGAAGGGGGGTGGTCACCTGGGATGCCAAGCCAGTGACAGGGAAGGAGAAACTCGAGGAAGTGGGAACACCAAGTCCATGGGGGAGATAGTTTTTCTCCTTGGTAGGGATGACTCTATGGTAAGTGGCTAATGTTTCCAAGGCTGAGGGGATTGACCAAGGGGGGAGAGCTCATGGGATGCTACACCAGATGGCAGCTGCTGGATACAGCATCCCAGTTGCCAAGTCCTGGCCAGTAAGGAGAGTACGTGCCGAATGGGAGTGAAGACAGTCATTGGAGCATGACAACAGCAGGGCAGCACAGGAACACTGCAACATGCTGGGCTTGAACATCCCGAATGCAAGAAACACTCCACTCCAGACAAACAATATTCTAGAGGAGCCTGTATGTGTATCTATATTGTTTTAATGTATACATGTATAAAGAGAAGCCTACCTGATGTAGGAAACTGCTGTGAAATGTTCAAAATTCTCTTATACTAAATCATTAAAGGCAAATTGCAGTGATGGGTTAACTATGTTTATTGCAGAAGAGCAGTGAGATGCCATAAACCCGGGCACACTCTGGCGCATGGTGCTGTGATGGTATTAGACAAAATGCCAGAATAGCAGAGCCTCTGGGCCGCAGCCCTCTATTCCATCCTCCTTCCTCTGAAAGCCAGGGAAGAGAGAAAGCACCTGTGTGCCTGGTGTGGAGCCTGCACTGGCAAGGGGTCCAGGGACCTTTGGGCTATTTGGACACTTGTTCCCTTTCCCCAGGTCTGCCAGACAGCTGGACAATGAGGACGCAAACCTTGCAGCAATGGCTCAACATGACCCTGTCAAGGCAGAGCCATTAATGCCTCCCTGTTCTTGCAATAAGTGACATACATTTAAAAACAAGGGGTTCCCCCCCCCACACTGTCCAACTCCACTTGTCTGATTCACCAGAAATAAGGGTTTTATAAGTAATCTTGTATATTCCCAGCCCCCCAAGGGAAGCACTACATTTAAGACCATTTAAATAGACTATCTTTTCAGACCTTGCAGGGAAATTAAATAAGTATTGTCCTTTGGAAGGGATGGAAGAGGAAGGAAAAAAAAATCAATATTTTTAAGAATAGAATTATAGCATATGCCAGTATGACAGATTTACATGATACAGGTAGGAAATCTTTGCTATGGTTCATAGAGGAAGTCAAATTATATTACCATGTAGCCTTAAAATCAGGTAATTAAATGAGTTGGGATAACAAAACTACTTGGACAAATATTTTTAAAAGAGAAGAAAGGGATTTTTTGTAGAAATATTAAAAAGGAGTGGGTTTTTTTCAGTGCTTATCTATAGCGAGACAGGACATTGGTGTATCTTTTATTAGTTTAGTTAAAACAGTTCCCCTTGTGATCTCAGATTGATGTAGAACATGTAACTGCTAGAGCAAACTTGTAAAATTAAAAAAATAAATCCTTTTTAAAAAAATCTCAGTTTGAGAATTAGTACCACAAACTCCTGATGTTGTTAAACTCATATTATTTATAAAATTACACAAGGTGTTATAACTGGAGCTGTGGCAGCAGAGATATCTGATATAACAGTCATAAACATTTATACCAGTTCAGGATTTGTCCTATAAAAATCACAAGCTCTGCCATCTCAAAGGTCAAATTGCCTTCAGCAACTACATAGAGCTGTCAGAAAAAGCTAATCATGCTCTATTATATTATATTAATGTATAACCAATGGAGAAGGAAAAGATAAACCCACAGAGCTTATTTACAAAAGGAATCTCTTACATCTGCAGAGAGGCTGGGAAAATAGAACACTCCTAACCTGCAGATTTTTGCTGAATGGTATTTTAATTGCACCCAATGAGAACCAAGGTTTCCTCTCAGAGCTCCTGTGAATTCACTGCTTTCTAGAGGATGATGATACATTAGTGAGAGGACAAAACAGAGCCTTCAGGCATAAGTATATTATATACTTCTGAAGAGTATCCCTAGGAATTGCAAATATGGTCATAAATTGCAGCACTTTCGCAGCATAAATAATGTGCTTTGCTGGCCTGTGGTTGAAGTCTCTTGCCAGTGGCCTAAGACTGTTTTAAACAGTCTTATATGTAGATATCAAATCAAGCTAAGAAGGTCCAGCATTGAAATATGCTAACTGCATCCCTGCATTTATGGGTTATCAACTGCATTGATAAGAATTGCTCTTCTTATCAGGAGTGGTAAATTAATAAACATAGAAAGATTAAAAAGGGCAGGAGTCCTTTCAAGAGACCTACATGAAAAGTCTTAAATAGACAATATATGGCCACAACAAACATACTGCCCAGGTTAATACCTCAAACATTAGAAATCATTGTATAGAAATGGATTATTTTGTCATTCCCCACACAGTAAATAGTACATGTATTCTTCCAGCTGAGAGAAAAAACACAGGATAGCTGCAGTTCATTTCTTCTTGATTCACAGTTGCAAATAATAAAAGTTCACAGAAATAACTTTCTCTTTCAGAATAAAGTAGAAACATTCAGTTGCTAGAAGTACAAATCTCGTCTTCTGTCATGAATCTGAATACCTGAAAGACACAGCAGCATCAGGACAGTCAAACAGCACAGTCCTTGCAATGTCTTAAGATGTTGTGCAAATAAAATCGCACCTTTGAGTTTGGTGCTAAAGAACCCTTACTAGAATAACCAGAGCGACCTATTCAAAGTATGCCCAAAACATTGCACATCAAAGAACCAACAACGGTTGGTTGTACCAAGAGACTAATAAAAATAAGAAAGCCTGAATGCTTTGGGAATAATTTCTTAGAGTATGGTGGGTTTGTTGGTGCAAACTGCAGCAGTGCTACCACATGCATGCTTGAGGTATAAAACAAGGGCTGTTCTATCTTTCTGGGATCTGAAGCTTGGACAGTGAGTGCAAAACAGGCATTGGGAAATGGCAGTCTGAAGGTATAAGCACAAAAACTAAGGTGAAAGGGGTAAAAAAACCCCTATGTATCTCATTTTAATATAATGTAGTGGGGTTTTATTCTTCTTTATTAATGTAGTTATGGGAGGTGGTGGTTCTATCTGGGGGGAAAATGAGCTTTTGAAATACAAAAGCAAACAAGGAAGATCTTCAATACTACATGCATAAGCAAGACTGCTGTCTGATTTGTTCTAAACCTGCTGGTTTCTTTACTCACCTGCAGTGGCATGGCTTACACTGGGATTTTCTGAGCCTTGGTAAGAGCTTCCTTTCCTCTCTTAAAAAAAACACAAAACAAAACAAAAACTACTGGGGATGAGCAGAGATTCAGCACAGAGCTAAAAGCAGACCATAGTTACTAAAGAAACCTTGTGCTTTTGCAGCCCAGCCTATAGCACAGGTGCTGAGGAGCTCTGTGCTGTCTGGCACAGCAACATACACTTCCATAAATATAAATATCAGCTGTTCTTACACATGACACAGAGCAAGAAGTAGTATATTTAACAGATAGAGCCAGGAAACAAGGACTGCTGCAGCTGAACTAAATGTACATATCCTAGGGATTTGCCAAAGACTCCCTGTGAGCATGAATCAGCCATTTCTTATTGATCCTTGTTGTGTTGTTTGATAATCACAATTTGATGGCATTACATGTGTGGTGCTTAGAGGCTCCGAATATTCAGAAAGGCCCTGTATACATCCTGAAAGAAACAGCTTTAATTGGTAATGGTTGGAGAGTACTGGCCTGTTTCATTTAATTTTCAATTTTTTCCTCACTCATTTTCTTTCTGAATTTTTGGGAAAAGAAGTCCACTGTTGTTAGTAGTGCTTCCCTGTTATCAACACAAGACTAATTTCATGAAATAGCTCTTTTTCTGAAGGAGTCAATTCCTGGGGCTCCCAGGAATTGGGATAGGCTTGCATTGCCCCCTTGGGGGAAGAAGGCACCTTAGCTTGTTCTTAAATGAGATCCCAGTTCAGATGGTGTCTTCAAAGAAATTAAACTCTCATTCACTACCTACACAAAGTCTAGGGTGAGTGCCTGTGCAACACATACAGAAAACCTCTGCTCATATACCACAAGCAGACAGCTTGCATTCCAGCTGAAGATACAGACACTGTCCCTTTAACATGAACAGACAGGGCATTAGACATTCTAGCAGTAATGAGTTAGCAAAACACATACGGTCAGGTCCTCATAACAACATAGATCTGTTGTATCCTCAAAAGAGGAACTGTAGATAAACTCCTGCTTGTATCTGCAGGCAGTCTTTAGCCCACATTCTGCCAAATTCCTGCTGATGCAGTTTCGAAACTTGGTAACTAGGAGGTATTTCACAGCTGCTTATTTTTCAAAACCTAAGCCTCAGGATTGCTTCACATGCCCAATGTTTTTTGTTTAGAAGAACCAGGAAGGACACACCGTATTTTTCCAGCAGACTCCCTAAACAATTTCACAATCCTTTTCCTTCCAGACCAGTGTCAAGCTACCTGACTGGGGAATGCCCAGGAATAGCAATGCAGATGTACCCCAACAGGCATCAGCACTTTGGCCAGGAAGCCTGACCCCAGAGACCTTCTCAAAGGCAGAATTACTCACAAGAGAACATTTTATCCAGCAGATCTAGATGCTGTGGGGACATAAATGAACTTCAGGCATCTTTCTGCCGTGCACTGGTAGTACCTCGGATTGGGATTCCTAGTAATTGTGGATAATAAGCAACAATCACCACTGTGTGAATTGCATTAGCTCTGGGAAATCTGCAGAGAGCAGCCATAGCCTTCGGCAGCCAGAGGAGCAGCACCTCATGGCAAGGAGCTCCTAGCCAGGGGACAAGGCAAGGCTGGTCCACCAGCCCCTGTACCCTCACCATTCCAGCTACAGACAGGGACTGGGAGGGAGAAAAACCCCCTGGCCATGCTGGTAAGGGCTGCAGTTTCCCACCCTGTACTTGGAACATAATTAACAGCCTGCACAGTGGAGAGGCTGCTCAGGGATCTTTCCTGGCCACCCCTTTCTGGTCCCAATGAGGGAGCATCTGATATACGCCACACCTAATACCCATGCTTATCAGAGATTAAGATAGCACTATGAATAATGCTTATAGTCACTTAAAATACCTTTCCAATGTAAGCCAGAGGTGAAATATTGTGTGAGCAGGCACATTTTTTTGCACATTTTTTGATTAACCCATACTATATGGCTAATTGATTCCAAGTACCACAGTACATACCAGGCTTATCTACTGTAAAAGATTTCTGTGAGTTTGCCAGAAGTTGGATCCGGCTTGAAAAGCTTAGCAACAGATGGCATTATTCTGTCACTTTACATCAGATGTCATGAAAGAATAAAGCGATAGTGTTTTCTTACCTCCCCCAGGAGCTGAACTTTGACTCATATTTTGTAACCTCGCAGGTCCAGTCATACAAGCAGAACTTGAGTATTGCTTCATGGTGCATTCTTGCATGGATGTTAAGCACCTTTCCTGTTGCAGAAGGCCAAGAAGAGAACTGTATTTCCTGTCAGAGATCAGCTCATCGGCTGCATGCAGGTCAGGGAGGGTGTGAGGATACACTGAACCAGTGACACTGGGAGTCCCAGTTGGAGGGAAGGGCCATAAATCTGCAGGTTGAGCTGGATGACTCCGCAGAGGCGATGGCTGGCACTGGCCTACCACACCAGCAGCAGAAAAATTCAGAGCAGAAGTTGCCATGCTTGTTGAAGAAGATGATGGATATGGTTTGTAGCAATGCGAAGAGAAATTCCACTGATGGGGAGACATGTTGTCTACTTAAAAAGAGAAAAAAAGCATCTGAAGTCTCATCATTTCTTACTTTTTTCCCAAGGCAAATTCCAGTGGACTTCTAAGGGAATGCTGCCAGATTGCATATTCATTTTTGCAGAAACACAAAATCACTTTAATGCTGCTTATCTTAAAAATCAACCACAAATTCATAATAAAAGCAGATTAAACCACCACCATCAATCTTTCTACTAAGTACTTATACTGTAGTATGTGCACTACAAAACCACCAACTTAGGCAGGTTTTTGACAGCTGCAAGCTTAGACAAATATATTTTTGTGAAGATTACAACTTAAGTCATAATGCACTTATTGCATTCAGCAGTGATGGGGACACTTGGCTGGAAAATGATGACCTAGTCCTGTCAACAGGACCATGGAAAGCTTAGGAATCACTCCACTAATCACAGGGATTTATCCAGGAATTCCCAGCTACATATCCTAGGGCTTTACAAGTATGATTCTCTTGCTTTCTGTTTGCACACAATTTCAAATTTAAGATCAAGGGATGTTAAATTCCTTAGTAAAAGCCAGTCATCCCATCCAACACCAGGCCCACACAGGGAAAGGAGCTCACCGTTTTTCAGGACAACAGTCTCACCCCTGTGCTTTGTGCTCAGGTCTTGGGGGTTCTTGACATTGCTGAGAGCTCTAGAAAAATGTTCATCTACCATGCTGTTAATGTCCCCTTGGAAATAGGTGAACACCACGCTCTGAGATCCCCATTCTGTTTTCACAGGCTCTTTGCTTTTACTCAGCTTTGGGGAAAGCTTCCTTGTTTCTTCCATTTTCAATGACCAACAGTCCCTGCAAAAAAAAAAAACAAACAAAAAAAACCCCCAAAAACAAACAACAAAACCCAAAAACACAAACCAAAAAAGCCAGACAGGGCAAAGAGACAATATTCAACTTCAAGTGCCTAGTGAGTGGCGAGCTCAGCTTCCTCCCAAAAATGGTAGGGGCCAGAAGAACACTCATTAGTAGGAGTAGATTCTCTGTTTTTCTTCTTTTTCCATGCACCTCTTTACTGATTTTCCTATTAGATACTTCTAAAATGAAATACTTGGACAGAATTGGCATATCTACCCACCAGCTTTCATTTCTCACCCTGACTTTGTAAGTCTGGGCTTAGGATGTAGTACTGTGCAAGTGTGCCCTCTGAAAGAACTGAAACACTTAAAAAAATAATTCAGAGGTGGCACTATCCCTGAATGAATTTGGGGGCTGAAGTTATCAAAATGCTTTGTCCAATTTAGGTTTTTGTGTTGTTCAAAAAACAATGACAAAGTGAAAAAAAAACAAACCTCAACAAAAGAGGAGCAACAAAAACCCCAAACCCCACTATACTACATTAGAGCTGAAATTAATAATTTTTAGATAAGGTAAAGTCTGAAGTACCTTAATCACTTTCAGCACAGATCTCCAAAACAAAAAGACTTTTAAGAGCAATTAGTTGCTTCACCTGTTGAAAAACAACATTCTGATTAAATAATTGGAAATTCAAATCCTGGCTAATTCAAGTAAAAAGCCACCACAAAATGACAACAAAACAAATAACCTTTTCTTGTTTGAAACAATTTACCTAGGAACATGGTGGTTCTGCCAGCTGCTTAAAATTTTGGAGCAAGACTGCTAAAACACACACTGTGGGTCAACCAGAATGTAAGGCTGACAATCCAGAATTTAAGGTAAGACAACAGGTTTAAGGCAGGAATGCCTTAAACTAAAATAGTTTGCAGGAAGTCAACAGAGGCTCTCTTTTATTCTCTTTAAACATCTCTGCAGCCAGGTATTGTAAGAGTAGGACAAGGAATGTCACTACTTGCCCTGGAGAAGTATAATTTTAATGCATTTTTACAGTTTCTGGCCACAAGGGAGCAACTTCCCAGCCAGAGCTCACAAGTCCTTCTCTAATCAAAATAATATTTAGCAAGACTCAGGCTACAAATGCAGTGAAGTGCCTGTTGTTTCTATTCCATTTTCCAGTCTCATTGTCAGGTCGTGACACTGCATAGTGTAATTGATTTAGGTAGCAAAAGGAAGGCTGTTATTTTTCAGAGATCAGGGCAACCTTTAGCCAATAGCCAGCCGTACTGCATAAAACATCATGAATCATTAGATATGTGTTTCCATCCAACTAACTCTGTAATACACACCACTGCTTAACGCAGTTGAACACATTTATCTGATTTCTTTCCTAGTCATACATCCCCTAATCCTCAAAAGCTTCCCAATAAACACCACACTCATCTGCGTCTCAAAGGATACCCTGAAGTGCCTGCGGAGTCTGCCTTCAAATGGTTTCTCAGAATTTTCTTGCACATGAAAAAAACTGCTCAGGCTGCAAGACAAGTATTCAGAAAGTATTAGGAAGCATGAGGATTAAGGTTGTCAAGCCATAATCTATCCCCATTCTGATGCTTAAGCCTTCACCTAAAAACTTCTTGTCCTTGTTTATCATTTGCTTCCATATTTAGTTTTGCTTGTTTACCTCCATCTCCCACCACCATGTGCTCTGTTCAATTCTCCCTGACTCATGGTCACTTGCTCAGCCAGGCCTAATCTGTCACCAACCGCTAACTCATGTCCAAACTCAGGAGCTCCTTAGTCCTTATTTTAAAATTTCTATTGCTTTACCCCATCCTCCTAGATTCACCTAAACACAGCAGTGGGAGCAGGAGTGCAAGGTCACTGATTCAGAAGACAATGTTTCACAACTTTAAAACTGACCCAGCTTTCCCAGACATAGAAAACTTTAAGAAACACTTCCTCCCACTTTACAGGCACCTTTCCAAGGCCCATGAGGGGAAGCAGGAACTAGCACAACCCAGCCACACAACTGGAAGGACTTTGAGCACAGGAAGAGATGCTGTTTTTTCCCAGTCTTGTTTTAGAAAGCAACCTGCAATTTGGGTTAAGAAACTTCACAATTGCTCAGCCAGGGGCCAACACTTGTCATTGAAAATTCCAATCCAAGAATTGGCAAAGACACGAGCAAACAGATGGCCTGAGAAAGGACAAGAAGTCATCTTGACAGCAATAAGCAAAGCAGCTTTTCCTACTCTGCACCAGCACTACACATCAACATACAATTTACAAAGCATTAGTGCTGGCCCAGAGGATCACTTTTCCCATTCTTCACTCAGTACAAGCCATTATGTCTTTGTACCACTTTATCAACATGCTTAACTAGCTCCTGACATTTATTCTGGGCTCCTTTAGCATCATTTGTGTGCAACAGCTTGTGTGATTGTGACCAGTTAAAATGCTGGAAAAATAAAGTATTTTAAAGGAAAAAAGGTCATTTATCTCTTTTTTCCCAGTGTTTCCCTTAAAAACCTCTTGCACTTTCCAACAAGTAGGCAAAGGAAGGCTAGGTATAACATAGGTTACATCTCAGTCCTCTCAGTGATTGTATGGGCATAAGGATTCTAACGTCCCAGGAGACAGGAATTGGCAGCACTATAGTCTTCACTACCTGAACTTCCTATTATTCCATCACCCAGCACGAGGTCTGCAAATGGCAGAAATCCTTCTAACTTGTGACTGACACAAACCATTGACCAAAATAGAGTAGAAGTGGAACTCAGGATGAAAGGGACTCAGCTCATATATCTCACTACTCTTAGAATGGGTTAATAAGGGCAAAATAGTGCAAGTTATTTCTCCTTCAAGTGGACAAGGACCTATGGTCAACACAGGCTTAAGAGTGGCGGCTGTTGACAGCTCACCACAAGACCTAATACTTTACAATATTTTCCACATTCCCCACATTTGCCAGCAGTACTAATTTAGCAGTACTGGAGCATCTGACAGGGAACACTTCATTCTTGATTTCATGTAGCTCAAAACAGTTTTAAAAACAAAAAACTCCCACTTCTCAAGTATTAAACCACAATTTAACAAGCAGGCATTTCCTGTCAAATAAGGGAATAATTAAGGGAACATTTGAGGAAGTCAGTGAATTGTCCTACCTTAACTCACTGTCAGTCAGATTTTCCAGATGAGCGACACTCATGCTGTGTCCAGCAGATCGGGATCCTTCCTGGGCCCGGCCAGCTCTGTGTGCACTGCAGCGACTGCAGAAGACAAGCCACGTTCATGAACTCCCCACACTTTCTAGCCTCCAGCTGCACTGAATGAGGCGTTTCCTTCAGCCTATCTGCTAAGAATGCATGAAATGCACTCCAACGAGTCAACCAGGTTAGGAGGTTTCAGGAATGAGGAAAATAGGATTGTAAGTAGGTTTAGGTTTGTTTTTTTTTTTTTTTTTTTTATGACAATGTGTATACAATAAAGAAGATACTGTGGACTTTGGAAAAGTCTGGAGTAAGATGATAAACAAGATATGGCAATGAACCAAACTTGCCCAGAATGATAAAGGATTTTTCCTATGTTACAGAATATTCACTCTTAAACTGGTAACAATAAACACCTATGAGAAAAAGACCTGCTTCCAATCCAGATAAACTGCATAATCAATTTTCTCACTTTTCTTTGCTGGATCTGTTTTAGTAACTACAGGGAAGAAAAAAAAAAATCATTCTTTTTCTTTAAGGGCTGTAGCAGGAAAGAGGTTTTTTTGTAGCAAGTTTACCAAAATTAGCAAATTTCAACCATTCCAGAAATGCTGAAACAGGGTCAAACTTGCCAGTCTCAGCTGGAAAAAACACACTGAGGAACTAGTCACCAAACTGGTGACATTATGTCTTTTATAGAGTAGCTTAGGGGTTTGTTTACTCGCCCAGAAAGCTGGAGAACACAATCCAATTCCCTCTGCCTAAATATGTATGAATCCACCCTCTGCCCTTCCCAGAACAATTTAACTACCAGGCTGGGAGAGTTCCCGTGACGGTGCTTAGTCTTTTATTGACACACTGTTTGCACAAACACGTTTTCATTGTGAGACAGACTGGATTCCAGTCCACCAGCAGGGCAAGAGTCTTCAACATCTGCACTGCTCTTTCTCTGACTCCCTTTTCTAAACTGTGTTGTATGGCAGAGATTTCCTTCCGCTAAAGCTTTTCAAGACCTTATTTGAGATCTTCCTCCCGTGCTGACAGTTAAAGCTCTCGACAGGTTAAGATGGCATCAGTTTAAAGCTCCTAGAAAGAACTACCAGGTAAAATGGGATTTTCATCCCTATTCTTCAGTACAAGAATGGAATGACTGATTTCCAGTGCTTTTGAAGCATTCAAAGTGTTAAAACGCTGAAGAAAAAAAATTGAAAACCTTTGAGAATTAAAAATTTAAATTCTATTTGTCCTTATTATAAACTGCTTCACAATCTCAATTTTAACTGCAGTGTCTGCAGTGATCCTTCCTGCTCCTTTTCTCTCCATGCAGGTCCATTAACATCCCAAGCCAGGAAGAAGGCTGAAACCAAATCCATAAATAGGGAACAAATACCATATTTCCACTTAAAGTTCCAGCAACTTGTCTAGTGGGTCCAGCTGGAAGCTCTGGCACATTAATATATGTGGCTTATAAACTGAAGCTCCTGTACACCAAATGCTATGGTATCTTTTACTGAGGAAAAAAGACAAATATGTTACCTTGAAACTAATCAGCAGAGACTTGTTCTGTTCATGAGTTTGTTTATTAAAAAGGTAGTATAAAACACAACCCCTTTAAAAAACAAATCAAACGAAAGGTATTCTCAGATGCTGTCACAAGTCTAGATATTATTCAAATAGCACTTTGCTTTGTAATGTTGCTTTTTTAAAGGATAAATGAAAATGATTAATTTATTGAAAGAAAATCACCTGTCAGAAAAAATTTTGAGTTTAGTTACTGAAAAGTTTAATCTAACAATATACTTTTCATATTACAGAATGAGCAAAAAACCAGCTTGCTGCAAAAGATTTCATAATTCTATAAATATTTTACAGAACTTTCAGAGTATTCTGACAGTAAGATGTCAAACTATAATGAGCACTACAATACACACAAGTCAAATCAACACAAATACACAACTCACAGAATTCATTTACCATACTGCAGTATGTTTTCTCAAATGCAGAAATAAAAATAAGAATTTTAAAATCCAATTAAAATCCATAGGAATACATGGGGTTTTTTTCAAATTTGGTTTGGTTTAGTTTCAAGAATTCCAGGTATGAATATTGATGAAAGACAAGTTTGGGTTTCTATGAAGTATCCAACACCTTCAATTTTCTTAAGTGAATGAAGGTAATTATTTTTAACTGTTAATAGGTTAACCTTAACTGAATAATGTGTAGGATGTGTTTTAGCTGAAATGCACTGCACTTAACATATTGAAGGTTTTAAGTGAATTGCAATCCTTATACAAAACCTAAGCTGTACAAGGGAGTGAAATTCAATTAAAAAAATTTTAAAAGCCAGCAGGAGAAACAGATAAACATTTTGATGCAAAATGAAACTAATTCTCTATTTACACCAGTATACAAACATTTGAGAACTTGCAAAAAGATATAACCTTCTAAAAAGCCTTTTATTTTGAGGCTTTTTATCTCCAGGTGTCTACATTGGCCATGCTCCTCCAGCCATGTCATGTCTGGTGAATACCTGTAACTCCATAAAAACTCCTTTCTGCAAACCACCGAATAGCATTTGATTTTAAAGCAAACTACCAATTTATCCTGAAGCTCAGCAATTATTTTTGGATGGCTCAGAAAGCGATTCTGCAAAATTATGGTGAAGGATTAGTTAATACACTGTCATATTGTACTTAAGTGGCTTTACATCCATATTATTACACTGAAAACTGGTAGAAACATCTATTCCTCTAGTTCAAAACTGAGCAAAAATAATTATCTACAAATTGTTTCAGTCTGCTGCTAGTTATTGTTTCTATCATATACAGAGGAAAGGAGACAGATTATCTTAAAATTAACCTCTCACCAAAAGCACAGGGATGGAGGAACATGCAGTATACACTGGAATGGGACCTAAAAAAATAACCTTAGAAACTGAGCAAAATGGTTGTTGTTTCACTTCTAATAAGCAAGGAAAGTAAACAGAAAACACTTTTAATTAAAGAAAAAATAAAGTGAGAATTCCTTTAGGGTTTTAATTTCTTACAAATTTATGTACGATGCTGATTATTAAGAAAAATATGTAAGTTTAAAAAGGAACTCCGCTTGTTCAGATTTGTTAAAATTTCTGATTAAACATTACTGCTCTATACTCTAAGAACTTCATAATCATAGCTCAAAATAGCAATTTTATCTTCTGTGAAAATTCTTTTGTTCGGACTGATTTATACAAATTTCATAAATTCAAAATAACTTCATAAATAATTTCAAAAAGGAAAATATCTAAAGAACTTGGTTTTAATGAAAATCTGCTGAAAAGAGTCACAGCTGCATTAACCTCTCCCTGGACTACTAAATGCCTCAATAACTTAATGAATAGTTTATAAAAATATATTTTTACATTTTACTGGGGAAAATGGAGGTAGACAAAAGGAAAACACACGTTTTAGTATAATTCCACACTTGAGAACAACATATTTGCATGGAAAAAGAGCTTTTATTACTTAAGAATCCTAGTTAATAGGAAAGCCAGTAAAGCATTTGGTCTCAGTCTTTGTTGGTGCTCTACTTTAGTGTGAGGTCTAAAGGAGAGGATGAAAGGACTAAGAGCACATTGAACTTCTGCACCAAGCCAGTCAAATTTGCACATCAATTGGAGAGAGGAACATACAGCACTTCCTTATTTTTCAACGTCTTATTTCAAATACTAAAATTATCCTTGTTCTCCATATCTGATACCATGATAAGACTTCCTAGAACTTTACAACTACACATATTTCCACAAGTTTCCTTGTATCAGCTGTAATTCCACTGTAAAACAAGTGATTTAACCATGTAGTGTTACACAACTGGGCTCCCTTAAAAAAAAAAGCAAACAAAACACAAGAGAAAGAGATCTAAAGCCTGGAGTCCAGAAGCTGGAAGAAAAAAGGAGCACTGAAAGCAATACTCACCACACTAAACCACACTCCTCATATGCAAACACTTCCAGCTCTCAAAGGTCTGTGGTGCTTCTTACCAATAAAAATAACTAAGGCAGAACCAACACAACCCAGGAATGTGTCTGAATACACCACTATGTGCAGCAACTAACCAGGCAGTGTTCCAGATTCCCTGAATTCTTCAAACACCTGCTTTACTGAAACACACAATCCACACACTTGGAAAGATGAGAAAATTGACTTTTTTTAGCTGGCAAGAGCTACATCTCTTCTTTATAATGAATTCAAAATGGGAAATTTGTCATATCAGCATATGATGAGCCCCCGGACTTTTAACCCCTAAATTCAATTATGACGGCTATTTTTGTCACAAAAGAAGTAACTTATAACCACAATGGCAGTGTTAACTTAGATGCTCTTGTTGGCATAGCCACCCACACATACTGACTATATATTAAAAAAAACCCAACAAAATAAACTTAGACAACCATCTAGAATTCAGGACAAAAATCTGTATGGTAATCTATGAGCACAAGGTTTGAAAATAACATTTTCAGAGTATTCTGATTACCTCATGATGGAAACACAGCATCTATAGTTTCTTGCAATCCAATATGAATTTAAAAATCCTCCTTGCAAATATGTACTGGTGAACATCCCTATAAACAGCATGCTATGAATTTTGAATTGTTTAGTGCCTAAATCATGTTCTTCTATCCGTACTTATCAAAACAGTGGAATTCTAAATTAAGAATGACTATGCCCAAAACAGTTCCCCCCAGTTATTTTTGAAAGTCTGCCACTTACTAAAATACCTTAAGTTAGAAGATATTCTAAGTCCTTGCTTTTGGAAATATTTTGAAGTGGAGTACCACTTGCTTTTTCCATATAAGAGCATTATTTGAAAGCATATTTTAAAGTATTCTAACTTTTGCACAATAAACTGCAGTTTGAGCTGCCAAAGCATTTAAATTTTATGAAAGATGTGAAGAGCATACAGAGCGAAATGAAAATGTTGAGGAGAACTCACATTCAACATGCTAATGTAGTTTACAAAAAACCCTTACACTAATATAAAAGCAAGAACTAATAAAGCCACCAAAAAATCAAAAGCCTATTTTGATACCTACCACATACAGACCATGAAGAGTGTAAAAACAATGCTATTATGTCCCAGAATGTGTGTGTTCATGCACTTCTAGTCTCCTTGAGATAATTCCAGCCTCTAACATCAGCAGAAGATCTGAACAGGGAAGGAAAACTTCATTTGTTGAATGCTCTGATTTAATAACCTCTCTTCACTCAATTTGCCTTAGGGTTGCTGTGGCAACACTGTCTGCCACTTTCTTTAAGCTTATGACCCGAGACTACTCGTCTGCCACCTAATACATAGCAACACATCCAATGCATTCACCCTATCTGGATCATGGCACATGTTCCATAAAATTATCCAACATACCAGGACACAAGTTATTGAAACACTGAGTTCCAAGGGAACTTAACAGAAAAATTAACAGTACAATCCACAAATCTTGTGAAAGCTTTGCATTACATAAGTTACATATAGTTACATAAACTTAAAGGCTGGAACATATTTCACACTCACATCATGAAACACTGACAAGCATAGTTAGAACAAAAGAAGCCTGATGAGTTTTACTGTGCTCTTGAAAACTTGAGTTACTTCACCTGAACAGCCAATTAATACAAAATTTTAGAACCCCATTAAATGAAAACTTCAAAGCATACAGTTGATGACATTCTAATACACCTATATTCATATGAATATTGCCTGAAGTCACCCTGAAGAAAGGGATACACTCAAACATCACCCTAAAAATCATGCTTTCATAAAGCATTAAAGATGTTATGTATCAGCTTCTCCATCACTGCCTGCAAGGCTGCTGTCTGTGGATGGAGCTCCATCTTCATTAATACCCCCACCATTATTCTCCCTTTTGTGAGTTTCATCATTTGCATCCTCCTTAGGTGTGTCATTAACCTCTGGAGGCTGTTTCCCTTCAGGCAGTGTAACACTACTTGATGCAGAATGCGAATCAGATGCAGTTTGCTGTTCCTTTGCATCAGGATCCCCTAAAAATGACTCCCACACCTTGAGCCTTTCTTCCCTTTCTCTTGCAGTCTCCTCCACCTGTTAAAGAAGTGTTTATACACATCATTAGAGTCACACTTGTTAAAATGAGTATTTACACAGATGAAAATAGGCAAATATTTATATTACAGAAATATCTCAATGCTGACTGTGAACTAATGATCTGTATAACCAGTGGCTAATCCTATAAGATTAGCCACTCTGACATTTTCAGTCATTCAGGACTCAAACAGGTCCTCTAATTTTTTGCTAAGTTGAATAATTGAGAATGATTTTTGGAGACATTCTACAGCTTTTGAAGAAAAGCAAGATAACGCAGGCAGGGGAAGGGTATGGGGACAGGAATGCCAAGGACTCCTAGAATTCAAGGAGGTTTACTGTTTGGAAGACACAT